GTAGTGTGTGTAAGGTTGTACTAATCAAACATACTGAATTCACAGACTATTTATTTTTTTTCTTTAAAAGTGTATTTATTAATGCTATTCAAAGAAGTGTGTAGCTGAAAGCTGAGATGGAGGTCTAGCAATGAGGAAAGTAGGAAGAAACTTCTCCATCACATTTTTACTTTGACAATAACTGACAACAGGGACAACCATTTACAGAAACATCGTGGCTGTATTTTAGAAACAGTTTTTTAATAAGTGATATTTCCATCATATGCAAATTCAACAGATGCAAAGCCTATAGAAATGACAAAGATTGTACCATGTTTATATGTTTGTGGTGATTGTGTAAGTGCATCATCATCAGGTTTCCCACTCCTGAGGTGTGAAAGTTATTCTCTCAGTGACAAACCAGCGTGTTATGATCTGAGCCCTGTTAGTTGAATGTAAAAAGAAACAGCAATATCACACTTAACTAGAGACTTAAAATTATCATGAAATGAACAATGACCGTATGTGTATGGTGTGTACTGTGGTGTCAAAGTACATAGATTTTTGTTGAAGATGTTTAAAAGAAAAGAAAAAAAAAAAAACCCAAACCAAAACAACCCAACCCACAAAACTCTTCTTTTTCTAGGGTGTTGCGTTCAACTGACCAAGATCGCTTCCAAGTTATGTTTTGCTATTTTGAGGATAAAGCAATTCAAAAAGACAAATCTGGTAAGATTACCTGTCTAGGTTATCTTGCAACTTGAGATACTAGAAAGTTATCTCCAGGCACGCAAAACTAAAACAAATCAAGCAACTATATAACAAAATTAATCACGTTTGCTAGATTGCTGATGCTTTATTCTTGCCAAGAAAGCTGGTTTTGTTTTGAAACAGCTTGGTTCAGTGTTGGCTGAGTAAACATAAACACTTTTTACCTGTTAAACATGGTTTATAAAGCAAATGTAATTCTGATAATCAAACCTGTCACTTCTGTCAATTCCTCAGGAATGATGCAGTGTGTGATTGCTGTTGCTGATAAGGTGTTTGAAGCTTTCCTGACAATGATGGCTGATAAAGTAGGTTACATGGAAACTAAAATTTTAAATTTGTATAAATGTTCTCATTTCAGTTTATGAAAGTGTGCTTGTCTTTTTCCTTAAGAACTTCATATTTCTCTTTGGCATGCTTTTTAGCCTAAAACTAAGGAGAACGAAGAAGAGCTGGAGAGACATGCTCAGTTCTTGCTGGTGAATTTTAACCACA